TAATTACAGTGCCAAAAAGAAGAGACACATTCGGTTCTTTTGTGTTCCTGTATGTTTACAAAACCTTTGAATGATGTTTGAAGTGTGGTATATATACCCGACATCTTGGCCTTTAAGGTCCCTATAATAGGACCTTTGCCAAAGAGAAACTGAAGTTTTAGAAATTAAAATATTTTTACTCGAGCGGACTTTCTTTCATACTCTATTTTAGAGAGCGTAAGATACTGAACAACTTTTGGAACGAAATAACCTACAGAGGTGCGGAACATATACCTCATTTCGAACGAAAATCTGTTTCCTGGGATTCTGATTCCAAAGGTATAGGTCAAATCCTAAATTTCGAAAAATTCTGGAAAAAAGCGACATCTCACGGATGTAGCGTGAAATCAGAACCGAACCATCCAGAATATGTGCAAAGCTGAGTAAAATGTCATCTTGTAAAGAAAAATATGCTTAGAAAAGCTAGCATAAGTTTCGAGTTTTAGAAATTGATTTTAATTCAAAAATTTCGGGAATACAAAGATCGATGCCATTTTGATTTGAAATTCGAAAAAAATGCCCTCTAAACTTTGTTTTTCAAAAACTGGGAATCAGCAGTTTTCTTCAGCTTCTCACAAGTTTTTAATTAACTCTTAACTATGTTGAATAAAGTTAAAGTTAAATTAAGCGGTACAGTGCTTTCTTTTGAATTTTTTTCAGCTCTAAATAGTTTTCTAATCAAGAGTTATTGGAGTTTTTTTCAAAAAAACGTCAAATACCTATGAATAGTTGCTACCATCTTCCTGCATCGCAATCAGTTTGTTGGAAGTGATACAACAATTTCATATTATGGTAAATGTGCAACCATAATAACTTAACTATGGAGACTCCATTTTAGGTTTCATATACAATCTGACACTATTTGCGTTAAATGATTATTCTTTTTTCCGAGAAAAAAGCTCTAAATTGACTGACTTACGTAGAAAATCTATATTATTGGTATCTGTTGCTCTCAAACTCAGAATTTAAAACCATGCATTTTATATCAGAAGATGCAGAATTTCTCACTTTACAAGATCACATACATCAGAAAATAAAATTACGGGAATTTGAACAGCCCCTGTGAAAAAAGTGTTGACAGAATGAGTGACTCAAAATGCGTTAAAATATACTGGAGAGCTCAATATGGCGCTTATTTCGTATGTAACGAAGCGAAGAGAAAGATAAGTTTTTGTGTGCTGTTTTGTGTAATAAATGTCTTTTTTGGCTTATAAACATCACTTAGAATTTTATCGATCACTTAATCTGATGCCAATTGCGGTTAGTCCTACTTTAAAGCAGTCGATGTTAAGCAATTCCTATTCTGAGTTTAAATGTAGGACCTACCGTTAACTGCAGAACAAATAAGAGCCTGTGTTACTTTTTTCACAGGGGCGGCTCAAATCCCCGTAAGCACGTCAATTTCAATCAAGAACCTGGGGCATAAAGTCTTCTGAATAATTTTTCAGATTATATTTGTCAATCGCTTTTTCTTTATTTTGCCAATCTGGATCGGCCTCTTCAGTTCCTGCCTCTATTTCGCTTCTCTTTTCTTCTTCTTCTTCAATATGTTCTTCGTCCGAAATTCCTAAACTTGGCTCACTCTTATCAACCGAATAAAGCGTGAGAAATTTCGTGTTATATTTAAAATACAATATGTTAGGTCCGATATACGTTGTGTATAAGTAGTTTATTTAGAAACTGAACACGATCCTTCTGCACAAAAATAGCGTATATTTATATCAAGGTTTACACGAAAAGTGGAATATTCTAGAGTTGATGTACTAGACTGGGAAACTGGGGATACATGTAAGCGATCACAGAAAATAAAGAAACCAAGAACTAACACTGGAGAAATTCCTGACAGAAAGAAAGAGAACGAATATACATACATATATGTATGACACCTATCATACAATTCTCTCGTGTGGCACGTCTTTAACCCTTTAAGTACCATGGCTCTGCCGAAAAGAGAAATGTCGTTATGGCTATGTATTTAAGATAGTTATGGTAAGGTACCGCTAGTAATGGCACAGACAAGTCTAGATGTTGTCGATAGGGTTAGTTCGAGAAAGGTTGATTTATTTTCAGCGATATAGAGAATAAAATTGTACAGTCAGAAAGTTCAATGTGTTCCC